CCGCTTCAGTTCCGATCCAGCTCCCTGGGGAAGCAGCAGAAGGCGGCCCAAATGCCTGGGCCTCCACCGTCCATGTGGCAGACCCGGATGGAGTTCCAGCCTCCTGGCTTCCTGAACCCTGACTGTCGGGGCCATTTGGGGAGTGAGCCAGCAGGTGGAAGACCCCGCTCTCTCTCTTCCAGACAAATAAAATCTTTAAACACACACACACACTTTCACAGCAACTAGACTAATTTTTGACCAAATAATGGGTCCCCTAGCCTCGCCATAGAACTGGCCACCTTATCAGCGTATGTCTCCAACTGCCTCATACCCAGAATCCCCAGCGCGGTGGGGAGCTGCTCCTGCCTGAGGCGCTGCCAGCCTCACGCCCATCCCCACACCCACTCCTTGTTGATTCCCGCAGCTCCCCGGCTGCGTGCTCTCGGCGCCCACGTCTTGCAAACCCTCACGTGGCACCCCGGGGACCCTCTCATGGCTCCGTGATGAACCACCCACCTGACATCACTTCTTCTCGATGTTCATCCCAGGGTGTCCCAGACTCAGCTGCCCTGTCTGGCTCTGAGGCACAGCCTGGCTCTTGTCACAGTGTCAGGCCCGTCACAGAGCGGGAGACTGGGTCCCCGCGCCTCTCAGGGCAGCCTGAGCCAGCACCTCCTCGCCGCACTGTGGGACAGTGCAGCCGGGCAGCTCCTCTCCACGCACTTCCTTCCATCCTGTGCCCAGCCCCGAGCGAGGTACCCGGCAAGCGTTCCCCACCACCACCAGGGGCCTCACAGCAACCCTAGGGGGTGGGCATGACTGTCCCCATCTGTCACTGGGGCATATTAGGGCCTGAAGAGGGGAGTGAGCGCTCACAAAGACAGCTACGGAGAACAGCAGGACGGGCACTGGAGACGGAACCCTGCAGGGCCACCAGGGCAGCCACGTCCTCCACTTGGGCTGAGAACAGAGACGTGAAGGGGCGGCCGAGGGCTCAGGCGAGCAGACGGATCCATAAGAAGCATCAGAGCCAGATACCTCTCAGACGGCTCCGGGGACCGCGTTCTGGGGGACCTGGGGAGCTGTCTGAGCGAGGCTTAGCCCCGGGGGCTTGGAGAGAAAGGGGAAGAATGTTCTGGACGTGAGATGTGCTTCAAGGCAGAGCTGGAGGGCTAGAAGTGCCTGAAGAAGCGTTTCCCCTTTCCTGGAAAGCTTAGCCGAGCGCCCCGAGTGGCTCCCGCAGTCCACGGCCTTCACTGCCCAGCCGGACTCAGGCCCTGAGCCCCCGCCTGGCTGAAGCGGTGCCTCCCCAGGGGCTGCTTCTCGTCGTGTGTCCATGCATCAGCCCGAAGACGCGTCCAGGGCGGGTTCAGGAAGTCACCTGCTGTCCCAGGTTTTCTCTGGTCCGGGGCTCAGCAGGGTTGGAGGTGGGCACTGTGCCACAGTGGGTGGCGTTGTCACACCCTCCTTGGGGTGTTCCAGGGGACCTGGAATAGGGTCCCACCTCTGCTTCCCGCTAATGCACGTGTGAGACAGCGGTGAGGGCCCAAGCAGCTGAGTCCCTGCCACCCACGTGGGAGACCTGGCTCCTGGCTCCTGGCTCCTGGCTTTGGCCTGACCCGATCCTGGCTCTTGAGGGCATTTGGAGAGTGAACCAGAGGCTCAAAGATCTTTCTCTCTCTCTCTGCCTCTCTCCAGTTTTTAAACTCCCAGTATATTTTTTAAAGATTTATTTTATTTATTTGAAAGGCAGAGTTACACAGAGAGGTAGAGACAGAGAGAGAGGTCTTCCATCTGCTGGTTCACTCCCCTGATGGCCCCAATGGCCGGAGCTGGGCTGATCCGAAGCCAGGAGCCAGGAGCTTCTTCCAGGTCTCCCACATGGGTACAGGGGCCCAAGGACTTGGGCCATCTTCTACTGCTTTCACAGGCCATAGCAGAGAGCTGGATTGGAAGAGGAGCAGCCAGGACTAGAACCGGCGCCCGTATGGGATGCTGGCGCTTCAGGCCAGGGCTTTAACCTGCTGTGCCACAGCGCTGGCACCTAAACTTCCAGTTTAAATTAGAATACATATGATAAATATATTTTATAAGAATTGGTACATAAACATATATTTATTTATATATTTGATTTTGGTCACACGGGGCTCACCAAGACCTTTGGTCGCACAGCTGAAAACCGCTGGAGTTGAGCCCGGAGCGTGAGAAAATGCTTTATGCAGCCCACAGAGCTGTGGCAGGTGGGGGTCTGTGTGGCCCACTCACCTGGTGGCTTGGCCAGAGGCGTGGTCAACGAGGAGGGGACTCGGGTCATGTCTCAGTAGGGGCATCCTCGAGGTCTCCTAGGAAATGGCTCCTCCCCCCAAGCCCCTGTGGGATCCCAAGTGCTTGGGGGCGTGGGTCCTGGGGTGGGCTTCCCTGAGGTCACAGTCACTCAACACCTGCCCGGGCCCGCGCCATGTCTGTTCTCATGTCCTGCACAGAAGCCCATCTAAAGTCCCAGCAACCTCTTCACAGCCAGGGAGACAGCAGCAAGGCCCCCGACCAAACCGGGACCGGCAGCTCCCGCCCTGCTCCGCCCCCACCCTGCGCCGCCCGGGCTGTGTCTCTCCCCTCCGCCCCCACCCTGCGCCGCCCGGGCTGTGTCTCTCCGCTCCGCCCAACAGCTCAGCAGGAGGTTGCCCTCTACACGCCCAGTCATCCACTCATGAACGTGACTTGCCCTCGCCCGGACCCCAGGACCCCAGAAAAGGGCTGAGTGTGGAAGACGCGGCTCCCCAGTCCTCCCTGAACGAGAGCCAGGCTCTTCCTTGCCCCACCCATCCCAGAGCAGACGACAGGGACCAGAGTGGGAGCGATGTCCACGGTGTGGAAGTGTGAGCGCATTCTGTGAGAGCACGGTCAGAGACTAGAGACGTGGGACGGGGCTGTGAACAATTGTGCAGGAGCTGAGGGCTGTGAGTACATGCCTGGAGTACAGGGCTCGGTGCGAGAGACGTCAGAATCCTGCCCTGAGATGTGTTGAGAGTGGTTGCAGCGTGACATCGCTGCCTGAGCGTGCGGGTCCCTGTGCCACTGAGAGAGTCTGTGCTAGTCCTCTGCGGATCAGCTGCGTCCATC